CCCTAAAAACACAGGCTTTTTGACAATCTAAACAGCTTATACACAAATATAAAAACATTTAAACTTTCTTTTGTGTCTTTTTGTAATATAGGGAAAATATTACATCAGCAATTATTTTATTACCCTTTAAATTGATTTCTGGAGATTATCCAAGGTGCTTCATGACCCATAATTGGGTCCCAAGCCCAGCTTTGGGAACCAAAGTGCAATGGTTCCCAAACTTTTCAGCTTTTGACCCACAAAATAACAGCAGCAGAGACCTGTGGCCCCAACTATTTTGGATGATAAACACTTGTATCAGGTCAACAAAGCATGGACATAGTAACAATTTAGCCATTTTAAGTATACTAACCTCACTCCTTTGTAACAACTGAGGCAAAAATGTAATTAATTCTGAAAATCTTTTCAGGACCCCACCTTGATGTTTCGGGACCCCACTTTGGGTCCTGACCCCAACTTTGGGAAACACTGCTCAACAGGATAAGTGACCATCACAAAGTCCTGATTCACTCTGTCTGCAGATCTGAAAAACAACAAACCTGAACCAGTTCTGTCAGGATGAACGGGACAAAAACCCAACAAACTGTTACGAAAAGTTTGTGGAAGGAAACTAAAAACATATGACCAAATTTACAAAGTTTAGACAAAGATACCAAAGACCAAGAACAGAGATGTTAACTTGTGACTGTGAAGAAAGTAAAAAAGCTCTCACTCAATCCTGACTGTCCTAAAACATGAACATTTAAGATGTTTCAGCTGAATGTTGGAGTTTAGGTCTGATCCCTGAAGGATTTCTGCTGTCCTTAACAAACATCTACCATCATCAGACGTGTAGTGTGAAAACAGCAAGAGTTATCTGTTTATTTTACAAATATAAGGACTCATCGCCACAAACAACAATCAGCTGAACGCACAGCGAGACTGAACTCTTTGTTCCAGCTTCACTGAGTTCAAAAGCATTTTTTTTTTTTTTTTTTTTTTAGTCCTGGTGTTTTGCTCTGTCCCAGCTACAGAGGGTGACAGACTGTTATGTAAAACCGGATCTGTAGCTATCAGGTCTCAGGTCACCGTGCGGTGCACACGATAATTAAACCCCACTGAGAGGAAGAGAGATATAATGTAAAATATCCGGGTCTTACTGGGTCTGAACGGGTGGTATACCGGGCTGGGGGCCCGTCTCTTCCATGTGAACAGGGACCGGCTCAGGCTCACGTCGTACGCGGTGTTCCGGACGCGGAGCTCGGACACCAGCAGCGGTCGCGCCGGCCTGTCCATGTCCGTTCCGTCGCGTCCTCCAGCCGGCTGAAGAGGCAGCAGCGGGCCCTGCACGGCTACGTTCGCCCAAGCATGGTGTCTATGATTTCCCGAAGAGGCCTCAGAAGCAGAAAACACAAACAAACAGCAGCTGAGGCCCGGGTAGCGGATTTCAGCTTGTTTTTACTGACAGATAGCGGTTTTCTACCGGAAGTAGGAGGAGCTTTGTGTTGCGTTCAAATGCTTTCAGGAAAGTCGTTTATTGGACATTTTACAGAACAATCGATGAAAAGGAATGAACCTGGGGCCTGCTGGGGACAGTTGTTCAAAACATGGATCAAAATTATCTGTCTTGTTTTTATCCCAAAGTTGGATTTGGTCGATATTTTCCAGATACAATATTTCTGGATTACCAAATCCTGGATAATGAGACCTTTAAACTAGACTGCATGTCACACTGAAGACAAGAAATAATAATAATTTAAAAAAAAGTAAAAAAAAAAAAAAAAAAAAAAAAAAAAAA